ACCCCGCGTCCGGGGAGCCGGGCTGGCGTGCTCGCCGGGTGCCTCGGCGGGACTCCCGGCGGCTTCGAGGACGCCGGCGGGCTGCTGATGTCGCCGGGCTCCTCTGCTCGCGGACGATGAGGGTGCTGAGGGGCACAGGAAGTGTGTCTCGCCCGCGGGGCCCCGCGGGGAGGTGAGGGCGCATCTGGGCGCAGCTGCCACTCGGGACCCACGAGGCCCGCGGTCGGTTGCGCCCGGGGTGTTCCCACTGCAAGCCCCGGCTGAGTCCAAGGATGCGCGCCGGGCATTAAGCTTCCCCGCCGACCCTGTACAGACCTATGTTGTTGATTTTAGATGTTTAAAGAGAGCAAGTCGGTAGTGGCTCCTTAACCGGAGTCCTGCTTTATTTTGAGATCTTTGTTTTTATTTTCCTCCATAAAAGAGGATATATATGTTGTTTTGAGAGAAATGCATCTTAGTCGTTGTGGAAATCTCGTACAAGGAACTTAGAATGAAAACAACTTGTAAGATCCTCTTTGTGAAACGAGTAGACAGATTCACATTTTTCTTGTGTAAGAGTTTTGAAATCGTAAAGTTGCCAAGACTGTGCAAATGTTAATGACAGTGGAGTAAAATGGTATGTTTTGAAAGAAACTATGAAGAGCAGCAAAGTCCAGGGATACTTTGACAAAGTTCCTGAGCAGTTCTTATTTTTTCTTTTCAGTTTTAAAGTAATTTCTTTATTAGCAGATGTTTCCCCTACGTGATGGATACATTCATCCTGGGGAGTTGGTGCATATACATATTGCATTCAAACCACTTCAGTACGCCTGTGTTTACTCAGACGTTTGAAATGCAGGACTCACTGGTGACTACTCACCCTCTGTCAGCCACAGGCATACATACATGAATAGCCCGCTCCACTTCTGGGGATAAGGCTTGATGATCTTGACACTTAGCGCCCACGACAGGCTCCCACTTACGGGGAAACCACCCTCACTGGGAGCCTGGTGGGGTAAGGAAAACCAACTGCAGTCACCTCATTATAAGAGAAACAGCTTTTCATCGGACTCCAGTAGATTAGTGCCCATGAAGAAGAAGTCTGTAGTACATGCTCTTCACCCTGTGGGAATAGTTTTCTGCTCAGACACTGTGAAGGACATATTAAAGATTAGAGTGGGGTGTCCACAGCAAGCGTGTCTTTAAGACACATCGAAGTGGATGGAGTCATGAGATGGAAACTGTCAGAAGGAGGTGTTCTAAGGAAGTCATTTGCGGAGCTGAGTAGGCTGCGGGTATTTGTGGGTGGGAGAAAATGCTATGATTGTTAAAATTTTTTAAATTAATGAGAATTTAACTTCTAAGACATGTCCTTTAAAACATGAATCACTACTATATTCAGTTTAAGAAGCTTCCAAACACTATTCCATTGGAAACTGGATACTTTCAAATGGCATAAACAAATGAGACAAAGGGCATCAATAAATGACAATCAGCCATGGCATTCCCGATTTCTAGCTCTCTCTCCCCACCCATGTTTGGCAGGCCTTTATGAAGTCTTTGGGCAACCAGCTGCACCTTCTGCCAATAGGAGAGGTGTGGTAAAGAAAGTACCAATTTTGAAATTCATCTCTTTTGTTTTGAAATAAAGGTGTGTCTCTTTCATTGGCGCCTAATATGTAAAAGCAGACCAGTCCTAAGTATGGCTATGTTTAGAGGATCATGATTTCGTTTATTTGAAGCCTGGAAACAAGTTTTCCTTAGAAGCAACAGTATTTAGTTTTAGATTCCCAAGTGAGCTCAGACATATATTAAGGGGATTAGCATTTGGGTAGCAGGTGCCATATATATATATATATATATATATATATATATATATATATAATCATCTCACTTGAACCTCATAGTACTCTGTCAGGAGGGTATAGTTATCTCCAGTTTGTAGATGAGGAATCATGACCACATTCCTTTGGTATAGGACCATTCTTTTAGTACGTTATCCACCACCCGTTGAAAGGATTCTCATTATTCAGCTCTTCCTTAGGGGTGAAGGACTGCTGGCTTTTGAAAGGGATTCCTCTGTTTTGAAAAGGATATTAGTTCCAATAAACTAAAAAGTGTGGCTTTTCTTGGAGTCTCTCATAAAGTTAACATGTGCTCATTTTAGCAAAGTATACTAAAAAAGAAAGTTTCACCCATAAATCCATGCTTGAGACATAACTGCTGTTAATCTTTCTGGTGTTTTTGTTGCTAGTCTCTCTCTTTCTTTCTGTCACGTACACACACATATATACATTCTCTTATGGAAATCTCAGGGATGAATGAATTAATCCATGTAAAACACAATGGCTGGCTCAAGATAAAGGCTCAATAAATTTTAATTATATTAAAATAGGTACACATGAAGATTTATTTCATCCTGCAGATTGTACTGTAAATATAATTTTGTATCTTGCCAAGGAGCTTAATAGTGTATTATGAATATTATTTTAAGCCAATAAAATACATTGAAAGCACCATTTGATGATTACAAAATCATCATCATTTTATAATTCAACTATGTCTTTAGTCTTGAATATTTATGCTGTTTGTAAGCATTCTCTATGATAAAACTGAGACCCAGTGTATTTTAGTTAGTAGAATTTTCCTTCATTGTAACAAAGTTGAAATAAAAATATTCAAGTCACATGGGGGTGGAGGGGCAAAGCTTTTGAAGAGAGAGCTGATAGGCAGGTGGGCTGGCTTCCCCTAGGAGTCCTTTTTCAGGATGGGCTCTGGCAGCAGTTAACTGCTGTCTTCAGTGTTTCACGTTCTTTGGCTTTTGGAACCACGTGTGTTCTGAAAATCTTTAGGGCTCCCTTCCTCCACGGTTCCAAATCCTCAGCCATCCACTCTTTCACTTGCATGATTCTTCTGGAAGCAAAGATGGAGACTCCAAGGCAGGGACAGAGTGGTCAGTGGTGGGCCTGGTGTTGATAGAGAGAAAAAGACAAAACATATCGTTGTGAAATCTTTATCATCTGGTGAGTAAGAACTATGACACCCATTTCACACATTAGATACAGCTGATAGCTGAGGGAGCTGAGATTTGACCCTAAATTGTTTTGTTTAAAGACTGTTCTGGTTTGATTTTTAAGAAGAGCTGCTTGCCCCTCTTAAAAGAAGGGCAGACATTAAGGAGGCAGACATTGTCTTTTTCAGTTCTCTAGTCTTTTCCAGCTGTGTTTGTAATGTCAGCAGCATCTGACACAGAAGAATTTCCATAAATGCTGGCTACATTGAATTTGCAGGTAGACAGAAGTACTAATCTGAGGGCTGTCTGGAACACTCACGTAGGAGGGGAGCTTGAATTGGCTGCACTTCTGTCATGATCTCTGTCTAATTCAGTGGTTTGGAACCTCAACTCCCTCTGCATGCTGGGCCAACTCTACAAATTATGTTAATTAAACCCCTCTTTGACTTGGCACCATGTGATTAGCCAACAGGAGATGCTGCAGGATATCTAGTTCACACTTTTTGAGCTGAACCATTCTTGTCGCCCAGAGCAGACTTATTGTCTTTTCTGCCTGGATGAAAAGACAAGGCCAGGACTGTAACAGAGCCTCGTTCCTCTGAGAACACCTGCACCAATAGAAATTGTTGAAGTGTCTTTTAATTGAAATAAACCAAGACTTGGTGTTTGCCTTTCCCTTTGAGTGCAATACTGTTTTCCCCTCAGTTTCTGTCCTCTTGTTGAGCCCAGCTTTTCTCTCTAGGTTTCTCCTCTTACTCCTTCTCATGTCTTTTTTAAAAAGATATTTATTGATTCTGAGAGTAAGACTCATTAATAATTGAATGCATGCAATTTAAATTGGGAAAATCAAATGCTTTCTCATAGAGTGCTTTAATAAATAGCAGGGCTTAAGTAATTGACTGAGTGTGGTTGTTTTGCCTTCTCTCTCCTTCACTGACGTGGAAAGCTTATATCTCTGTGCTTTTGCAGGGACACCCTCGCTCCCAGAGAAGCAAAGAGACAAGGCTCTTTACGGAAGTATTACATATCAATGATGGTTGTAAGCAGGAAGTTGAGGAGCAGCACACATAGGGGGCTGGGGGTATGGCTCAGTGTTAAGAGTATTTGCCTGGCACACAGGATGTCCCTGGGTTCAATCACCAGCACTGCAAAAATAGCACTAATAAAAAGTAAATTAAATTAAATCTCTGTATTTGTAAACATCCACGGGATTGGTTGCTGAACTTACTATCATCCATTAAGCGTTTTTGTGGTGCTGTTTGCCCACCAGGTTTCAACAATAATACCTCTTACAGTTAAAGGGATATTTATAGTGTTCCTGGTTTTTGTTAAATCTCTGAAGAACTTTTCTTAGCCTTACTAAGTTGATTACTCATTTAACATGAAGTCAATTTCCGTTTACTGTGGACATGAAATGAAGGAGCCTTCCCATAGTGAGCAGACAGGCTCTTGGACAGAGCGGTGGACAGTACATAGAAAGGCTTCATTGGTCAGTCTTTGACCCATAGTTTTTTTGAGACAGGGTCTCGCTATGTAGCTCAGCATGGCCTTGAACTCACTATGTAGCCAGGTTGGCCTGGAACTCACAGTAATCTTCCTCCTGCCTCAGCCTCTTGACTCACAGTTTTTGATTGTCATGATGACTCTTTTGGGCCAGTCCCACTTCAGATTGTCAGAAGCACTGACTGCCCGAAATTCATAAAGAACCACGCCCACTAACAATAAACTATGGCGCTTCCTGACCCCTTCCTGCAGGTAGCCACCTGTCTCTTCTATATTTATACTTATGCATTTAATTGGTTTGGTATTTATGAGAGAAAAGATGCAAATTTTGCATTATTATTACATAGACAGTCTTAGCTAAGATAGTTTTAGAAAGCTAACCCATCTGTTGATTCCTTATTTGATGAATTTGCCAAATATTTATTGAATACTCAGTAAGAGTCAGGCCCTGTGTGGCTTGTGGAGAGAGATGTAAAGAGAGAGTCCTAGCTGTCATGCTCCTGGGAGCTGCTATGAGATACAGACATTAAACAAGTAAACACGCGAGAAGTGGCCTCCATGCTGCAGCCAGAAGCAGGCTGGAGCTAGCCAGGTGGAGAGGAAAGGAAATGACTTGTAAGGCAGAAGGCACTGTTGATTCCAACGGGTTGGGGCTTCAGCGTGCTTTGGGGCATGAACAGATGCCAGGGTGACCAAGCATGGTGAGCAGGGGCAGTGGAACTGCACAAGCTGTGAGCCAATAGGAGAGAAGACAGACTCCCATTGGGTGGTTAAGTAATAATTAACCATGGAAGTCCTCTGACCTCTCCAGTCCATTTTCTTCTTTTCCCGTCTCACATTTTTATTGTTCTGCCTTTTAGCTTCAGATTTCTTCTTCAAGTGCTGTTTGAGACCTAAATGAGGGTTTAGACCTTAGAGGTACAAGGAATTTAAAGGCTATAGTGGCAAATCAATAAGGAAATACACTTTAAAACGTGTTATGAATAGAGAAGCAGAAACTTTAAGATATTTAGGCACACCATTGGTATTCAGTAGTAAGTGGGAAGGGAAAGAATGAGGCAGAGCATGGGGTTGGGACCCATAGACTAGGGGTCTTCTCATGGACTTACATAACTTTTCTACAGCTTTGGGAAGTCACTTGGTTTCTACAAGCCTCAGTTTCCACTAAGACATTGAATATTTATTTTGATAGTTCACATATATTAGCTCACTTAATTCTGATTACCCTAGGACGTAGGTGTTACCACTTCCATTTTATGGATGAGTGTTGATAAGGTTGAGTAACCTGGCCAGAGTTGTAGCTAGTGAGTGTAGGTGGTGTTAGAAGTTGAGCAAAGAATGCATGTCTGCTCCAGCAGTCAGTGCTCCTAGCATGATCAGTTCTGAAGCTTAACACTGGGCCATCTCAAAGTTCAGGGGAGTATAATAATCAGACAATTAAGCTTTTTCTGATTTCACAGCTTCTCACCAGCTACAAGGAGTCATTGATATGGAGTGAAACTAATCTTCGTGGTCATTCAAACATATCCAATCAGCGCTGATCTCAGAAGGAATTGTAAGACAGATAGAGCACCCTCAATTTTGTATCCCGAAGAACTCAAATGCCTTATATCACCCTTGTCTTTCCCCTTAGGAAATAAGTCATCAGATAGCCACTCACTCCCCTTTGAGAAGGAGTAACACATTCTGTCACTGAGTGCCTGATACACATGTAGTGAATGAATGATTCATCATTACCTATATCATAAGAAAATACAGCAATTTGTAAAACATCAACATCGAAGATGCAATTATTTTTCCAGGACAAGTTCTCACCATGTAGTCCATGGCTGGCCTTGAACTTGAGCTCCTCCTACCTGAGCTTCCAGGATGCTGGGATTGTAGGTGTGCCTCACCACACCCAGCTGAAGATATACATTTTCATGTTAAGTTGATTTAGCTTTTTAAATTTCACTTTAATATATAAGTTTACTGGAGAGTGTAAACATGAACAGCATATTAGAATAATATTTACCTGAAGATTTAAAAAAACTTTTACTATTTAGCAGGTTAAAGAATCATCAAACTCAGGTTGAAAGGAATAGTAAGTCATTTGAACCAGTCCTGTCCTGTACAAATAGGAAAGCAGATGCAGATATGTCATTTTAAATTTTTTAGTAGCTACATTTAAAAAATAAAAAGATAAAGTTAATTTTAATATGTTGAATCAAAGTTATTTCAATATGTAATCACTATAAAAATTATGAATGAGTTTTTTTCATGTCTTCCAAATTCAGTGTGTATGTTATACTTGAAGTATCCTTCAGCTTGACTAACTACATTTCACACCTGTAATAGTAGTGTGTAGCTAGTGGTCACCATATTGGATACTGTAAATCTAGATCGAATTCCTCTCTTAGTTTTTCTGGGGGAATGAGATGTTAAGAGACCTAACCAGGCTGACTGAACCTGTAACTGGCAGCCAGGGCTTTGAGGCCAGCTTCTCAGACTACATGACAATGCTTATTCTACAACAGTGCCTTTTAAAAGAGGTGATGCTAACAAAGTATATTGTTTTCTTGGTTGTGGTTTTTAAAATGTTGGGTTTCCTTGAGACTAAGGACCCATAATTAATGTTATTAAACCTTAGCTATACAAAATGATTGTTCAGAAAAATCATTAAAAGTAACACAGGTACTGTGAAATACCAATTCCAGGCTAAAAGCATTCTGTTATTTTTGTTCTTAAAATAAGCTGTCAAATTATTTAACTTCCTATGTGTAAAGGGCCAGTTTTACAATTGAGTAGCTTAATTTACCTCATAGGACATAAGGACATAGGACATTTACTTTGGAGGTTTAAAGGTATTCATACCAATGTGTCAGGATAAGCCTTAAACATGAAATTGTAGACAATTAAATAATTTTCTTTGATCCTCAGAATCATCACCAACCAGCCATTCTGAATTCCTCTTCTCTTCGGCAAGTTGTAGAAGGCACCCATATTTCTGAAATGTGGCAAAATGACTTACAGCCATTGCTAATAGAGCGATATCCGGGATCCCCTGGAAGCTATGCTGCTCGACAGGTGAGAACACAGCAACAGATCTAAAGGGTGTGGAATAAATGCTTTCCTATAAGGGAAATGTTATGGTTATGATCCGTATCTCCCTCCGTCATCTTATTAGTCATCATCATGAACAATGAAAAAAGTCAAGTGACTGAAAATAGAGTGATACCTGTTAATCTAAACAGGTTTATGTATGAAATCTCTGTCTGAGGTACAACACTGGACATGGTACTAAATCCTCGTCTCTTGACCATTTCAGTAACATACCACTATGTCTCCTAATCTAGCTTCTTGGATTTGAAAACCCTGACATCAACAGCTTCTGACAGCTCTTACTGGCAGCTCTGAGCTAAGAATGAGTCACTGTACTATCAGCCTTCATGCCCAGGGAGAGGTAGTTTTCTCCAGAGGAGTCAGGGATAAAGTACTTTCTATAGAGCAGTGCGTCTCAAATTTGTAACTCTGACACACAATAAGTATATATTGTATATTTCATGCACACAAACATGCAAATATGTTTAACTGAAACCAAAATTTTGTGAAAGAGCCTCATTCTTATTATCTGTAATTTACTTCGCTATTGTTAATTCTATTTCACTAGTTTTTCAAAGTGCCAGTCATTATCCACTGAACTGATTTCAAGACCTACTGATTTTGCCATTGCCATTTGGAAGATGCTGCTGGTGTCTTACAGAGGGTAGAATGACCTGTAGGCTGGGCCTGACTTTGAATTTCTCTTTGGATTCTTAGTGTTAGGTCTTTCTAAGCAACTTGAAATCCCACCTCTGAATATCTGCTTTATCAGACCATTGCATTTCGAGGGACAGCTTGGGAAGGGATTGGCTGGTTCCTCAAATTCTCCTCTGAGACCGCTTCATCTGCCGAGCTTTTCATGTAAGAATACTTGGCACCCGCCGCTGTGCCCAGAGAGACCTGCAAGGCCCACTTTATTCAGCCAGCTCTTGGACTCTTCCTCTCTGCCTAAATTCTGGTTCCTATGCTAAGAGGACTATAGTTCTTTTTAACCTTTAAGTAGACTGAGGAACAATAATGATGACGGCTGATTTTTATGGACCACTTCTACCTCTCAGCCAGTCTTCATAACAATGCTATTATGTGTGTGCTATTATTATTCCAATGTCATGAATTAAAAAAAAAAATACCTGACGTTTAGGTACCTGAATTTATTTGCTCAAGGCTATTGTGCTAGTGATGAGGCCAGATTAGAACCCAAATCTATGAGACTTCCTTGTCCTATTCCTAGAGAGCTTGGAGGAACCACTGCACTTGCATAGGTCCACCTCTGGGTCTTCCTATGCCTATGTTGGTTTCCGTGCCCGGAGTGAAGTGTGTAACATGCCTAGAGTTCTTCAGGCCTTGTCTCCCCCGAAATTTCTTAAATGGGAGTCAGAGCATTTATTGGCACTTTCCAAAATCCTCAATTTCTCATTTTTTGAAAAATCTATGAGGTTCAGCCCGTGAGGCTCAGTCATTTTCATTTTCCTATACCATTTGCTCTTCTGGCCATCTATAATCAGAAACATATACAACTTCGGCCTGATTTCCTTAATTTTGAGCTCATGAAGTCCATAAATGCAAGGAACAGTGTTAAAACCGTAGCTTCAATAGAACATATAGTGTCAGAAGTACACATAGATACTGTTGTGGTTCAAGATTACACATTTATGTAAAAGCATTACTGTATCCACAATAACATTTTCTACTGTTCTGTAGGGTTGGAGACAAAGGAGAAATTTACTGATAGTATGTTAGTTTATGGTGGGAACTAGGCGGGGCTGCCTCTGCATGGTCTGGCTGATGCAGCAGTAAATCATAACAGGATGGTTATGTCAGAAATGTCACTGAGAAGATTCAGATTTGTTCTTTTTTGGGGGGAGAGAGTTGAGATAGGGTCTCACTATGTATTCCAGGCTGGTAGAGGCTGGCCTTGAACTCACTTTGTAGCCCAGGCTGGCCTCAAACTCATGATCCTTCTGCCTCAGGCTCCCGAGTGCTGGGATTACAGATGTGCATCACCATGCCTGGCAGTTTTGTACATTTTTAAGAAACTCACAGTTAAATCTTAGAGACCTGTTCCCTACGGTGTGGAAGATAAAGAGCTTCCTCTTTTGAAAATGAGGTAGATGACAGAGGTGTTGTGAGGGAAGTATACTAATGGTCTTCCTTTGGCTAACAGTTCTGAGCCTTTTACTCAGAACTGAATTTAAGCGAGAATGATAGCAATTATTCTCCTGAGGCCTTTTTGAGAACTAGATCAGACCTTCTATAATTCATAAAGTGACAGGATTATAATTAGATAAGACTCTCAATTCTAAAAATACTGTGGATTTGATATAAAATTGTGGAAGGAATTACCTTTTACAGTCAAGATGTACATTCTTATGAATTCTCTTTCAGAAAAAGAATATTTTGGTGGACTCATATCTCACAATCTGCATTACTATTAGATTACTAGAATATTTTTATCTGAGGTCATAACTTATAAAATAAATAATTTGAAAGCATTACATTGTGGGAGCATTTCAGTGATTTCTACGATAAAAATACAAAATAAATTTAAAAATCAGGATGACAAAATCTTTCTTTTTTTTTTTGGTTTTTCTCCGGTACCGGGAACCGAACTCACGACGACCTTGCGCTTGCCAGGCAGGCGCTTTGCCGCTGAGCTAAATCCCCAGCCCCGACAAAATCTTTCGATGGGGCAAATAATCCTGTGTCTATAAAGTACATCTGAGGCCCCAAAAAGGGACTTGTTCAGTCAAAGATGTATATGTTCCAGAGTGCACCCCCATGCCAGCCTCCTGAGTGGAGGACCCCATGTGGGGTGCCCTCAGCTTGGAGCCGCTTTTTGTTGTGATACAGCCAAGAAGACGTGCCAGAAGTCCATGTGGTAGCGGTCAGCATCCTGACAACAGTGTGTCTGCAGGCTTTGTGCAAATACTGAGGATCTATTTCCCCCAAACAATTGTGGTGTATTGATGTCACTGCTTCTCTAAATCTGGGAAATTAGGATTTTAATTAAGTTAGATCCAGGATCACCCACTAATGTTAACCTAGAATACATCTCCTTCACCCTACCCCTCCAGAAAGTAGAACATCACAGAATAATGCCCTCATCTCCTTCTTCCAGGCCTGAAGGGCCCAGCTTTTGTCTCTTGGAGTTGAGGGAGCACAGTTGCATTAGACCTTAGCGGTATTCTAGCAGTAAAATCAGTGGTTTGGGGAGCTTCTTCTAGAGACTTATAGTGGGAACTTGCAAGACTAAGTCTGACAGCCAAAAGCAAAACAAGGAGTATTGATGACCTAATTATACTTTGAAGCCAATTTGATTGTTTGTAATGATTATTTATCTTAGTTGCTAAGATAAATAAAAGTACAGTACTTATACTGAATACAAAAATGTTATTCCAGGAAGAACCCTTTTGGCAGCACTTGCTGATTTTTTTGTGGGATTTAGTGTGCATGTAGACCTCAGAAATAACGGTCAAGACCCGATTAGTAGCTGGGGAATGAGTTTGTGTGTGTTGCTTCTGAGCAGTGCTAACAGATACATTTTAAAAAATACCAGTTTATTTGCAGGCTACTGTTGGTGCTGAAGAAGGGATTTTATGGAGCAGTTTATCATCTGGCTACCAGATGTTCTGGAGTATATGCTTTTAAAAAAAAGATTATCCCTTTTATGGATTTTTTTTTTTTTACAATGTGTAGGGACTTTGAGAGCCCACAATGAAGGAAGTCGGGCTGAAGTTGCATTTTCACAGTCTTTGGGAAAGCTTGTCTTAGATGTACAGTGATTTTTCTCTGTTCCAGCAACTAACGTTCTGTGCCATATAATTTTATATATTTTATTGATTCAAGCCATATTTACTGAAGGCTTGCAGTGAGCCAAGCACTGTGCTAAGAATTATGGAGAATAACACAATAGGTGAGATACGGATGCTGATTTTTGTGAAAGGTTATGAACATTTATTTTGATGACGTGAAAAGAGAACATGTAAGGCTGTAGTAGAAAAGACAAGGTATAAGCACACACCATGTTTTTTAAGCCAAAGTCTACCATCTACCAAAAGCAAAGTGGCGGGGGAGATTGAGAGAGAAGGATGAAGAGAGAGGGGTGGGCAGGGGAAGGAAAATTATTAAGATGTGTTATATATGTGCACCAACTCTCCACAGTGAATATAATCATTATGCACTGCAAACATGTATAATAAACATAAAAAAACCCAAAGCAAAAAATGAATGAATAACTGGGGAATCATGTTTATTTGGTTTTATCAAGACTGACTGTAGAATCAGTGCCACCCCTACCCCCAAGTTTCCCTCTCCCTGGAAGCTTCCTGCTATAGTTTTTCCAAGGCCCTTGCCTACGTGTCATGTCACATTAGCAAACAGCAGGCCACTACAGTCTTGGCGAGGATAGAAAATCCTGTATTTCCTTGGGGGAAAAAATATCTCCCATTTGTTTCCAGTTATTGTAAGTTATTTGTTCATCATCTTAAGGTCCATCCCTACTGGCTGTTAATTGTGGGACAAATTGCTGGTTATTGTGAAAGTTAGTTTGTTTTTTGGGTTTTTAATTAAGGCAATTTACAAAGATGTTTTGGGGGAGAGATACAGTGAGAAAAATGGGGCCAAGGGAAAACAAGGATTGAAAAGAGTAAATACAATAGCAATGAACTCATAATTTCTTCTCCTTCTCCACCTCCTTTCTTTTTTTTTTCTTCTTTGTTTTGTTTTGAGACAGAGTCTTGCTGTGTACCCCAGGCTGGCCTCTAATTGGCCAGCCTCCTGCCTCAGCTTCCTGAGTGCTGGATTACAGATAGATACCACCTTCCTTGACTCAAACTTTAGGTTCTTAAGGAAGATCCCTGCAGTCCTGAAGTACTTTTCTACCTGCTGTTCCTTCCCATTAGTCCTTGTGTTTCCCATAAAATCCAAGTGGCCAGGAAAGCATGCAAAGAGATTTTTTTAATATTTTTACCAGCATTATCACTGGATCCAGACCTGCCTTACATACAGATAGAAAGCTTTTGATATCCATTTTTTTTTTACAGGATCTTTTGTCATTATCCTTGTAGATGGTGTCAATATCTTGTTAGTGTTCATTATATGTGAGGCATTTGCTGGACTTGGGGACATTTGCTGTGCATTTGGGTCAAAAAGAGCTACATTTTGCAATTATTATCTTTGAAGAGCTTAGACTAGATATGTACAGGACTCTGATTTCTCAAGCATGTTTTTTTGGCCTCCTAGAAATATTAAAGTAGACTTTAATGCTACAGACCCAGATTTCTATCACTTGACTTCTTTTTTTATATTTTAAAACTTTTTTTATTTTAAAGAGAATAAAAAATAACAAAATAATAGCAGAGACAAAAACAAAACAAAGCAAAAACAATAAAAATGATACAGGGCTTCAAAATAAAATGATAGGAATTAACAGTGGTTGTTATATTACATATTGTTATCTTCAATGAAGTTGCCCATATTACCAGAAGTAAGAAGGCAAGATTGATCAAACCATTAAAGAGAATAAAAAAAATTAGAAATGATACAGAGCTTCACTAAACAAGATGGTAGGAGCTCACCAATGGTTGTTATATTGCATATTGTTGTCTTCAAATTAGTCATTCGTATTACCAGAGATAAGCATTTCCCTTCCTTCTTTCTTTCTTTTTCTCCTTTCCTTCATCCCAGTTGTTCCTTCTTTTGAGCAATTTCTTTCCCTTTTATAATATCTATTGTATGTTTTGGGTTTTATTTATTCTTTCAGGTTCTTACACTAGGGAGACAATATGATGTTTACACATGAGGGTCTGATTTCACTTATGAGTATGGTCTCTAGTTGCATCCATTTACCTATAAAAGCCTCAAGTTTCTCTTTTTTATAGCTGAGTAGTACTCCATTGTATAAAAATACCACATCTTTTCTATCCATTCCTCGGTTGATGGACATTTGAGTTGTTTCCAAGATTTAGCTATGACAAATTGTGCCGCTATAAACATGGCAGATATACCATGTATATAGATATACCACATATATTGCTGTGGTATGTTTTTAATTCTTCTGGGAAAATACCCAGAAGGGGAATAGCTGGGTTAAGTGGGACTTCTAATCCTAGTTTTGTGAGGAATTTCCACACTCATTTCCACAGTGGTTTCACCAATGTATGCTCCCACCAACGGTAGAGAATGGTTCCTTTTTCCCCCCACAACCCCTCCAGCATTTGCTATTGGTTGATTTCTTGATAATAGCCATTCTTTCTGTGGTGAGATGGAATCCCAGTGTTATTTTAATTTGCATTTCTTGAATGACCAATGATGTTGAACATTTTTTCATATATTTATTTTTCATTTGTATTTCTTTATCTGAGAAGTGTATATTCATCTCAGATGCCCATTTTTGGATTGAGCCTTTGAATTTTGGAGGCCTAATTTTAAAAAACTCTTTATATGTTCTAGATAGAAGTCCTTTGTCAGAGGAACAGTTAGCTAAAATTTTTTCCCAATACGTGGGTTTTCTTTTTACACTGTTGGTATCACCTGACCTCTAATATGTGCATAATGCATTATTCAGTAAGAAAAGCAAGAAGCAGAATAACATGTAAAGTAGTATTTTTTCTTATAAAAATGTATATACCTTTGCTAAATATGTATGTATATGTATATATATTAGTATAGACTTGTAAAAACAAAGAAAAGATATGTAGCAGATCTACACCCATCTATTAATATTGGTTGATATTTAACAATCATCTGGGCTTAATTAATAAGAGGAAGTTAGGGGAGAGGGAGAAGATGACTTTTCCTTTAAGTATAGCAACAATAACAATATTATTCTTATTAATAGGAATAATAAGCATGCACGATAACTTTAACTTGAAAGACCTTATGTGCCATTTTAAACACATAGTTAACAAATAAAAACTGTTTATGTATGAAATTTTGGTTTTTGTTTTGATCAGCACATCATGCAGCGAATCCAGAGACTTCAGGCTGACTGGGTCTTGGAAGTAGATACTTTCTTGAGCAGGACACCTTATGGGTACCGGACTTTTTCAAATATCATCAGCACCCTTAACCCCACTGCCAAACGACACTTGGTCCTCGCCTGCCACTATGACTCCAAGTATTTTCCCCAGTGGGACAACAGGATGTTTGTGGGAGCCACTGATTCAGCGGTGCCATGTGCAATGATGTTGGAACTTGCTCGTGCCTTAGACAAGCAACTCCTTTCCTTGAAGGTATTTTTTCCTTTTGTTGACTCCTAGAATAAAATAAGTTAGCAGCAACTTAGTGAATTCTGAAATCCTCTGGGGAAAGAAAATGCCATTTGGAAATGGAGACCTTTTGATACACTTTTGTAATTTGTTACAAAATGACATGAAGTTGAAGAAATATTAATTGGAAGAATGCATGATTTAAAATGTCAACCATGGCTATATATCTAACACATGACAGTGCATTTGTTAATGAGGACCTAATTTCTCAGCCTTGGATATGTATTAAATTAAATGCAAGATTTCTTGGCAAATAACGGAAAAGAAGGAAGTTGGTATAGGTCTAAGCTTGAGAGTTATGTTTTAGAATGAGCTGTGTTTATTTCTTTCCTGTTCACACAGTCCTGAAGCATCACGGTCTTCTGAGATGTGGTGGCTCTTGCACTGGGGGGAGGGAGCGGCAGGAAAGTGGTTCTAAAAAGAGTGGGTAATTCAGACACATCAAGATGAAAAGCACGAAGCAGAAATGCATTATTGTTATAATCTGTGAATCTCGGCTCACTTTTATGTAGCATAGCAGAGCTTTTGTTATGCTCTCAGCTCAAATACTTCGGAGACTCTCAGATGTTATTTCAGTCTCTGTGTTCTTAAGGGTATATTGGAAAAAAATGCTAGACTAGATGAAGACATTTTGTTCTGATACCACTCATAATCAAATAAACACAACACAGCAAACACAAAAACTTTGTTCACAGGCAGTAAATGCCTTTTTTCCCCCTTAGAGCTTTATGAAGGGTCCAGCTTTTGGTACAATGGAGTAAAGCAGTAAAAGGTTTATCTTGTAATAAAAGTAATAGAGATATTTGGTTCTATTTTTGCTGGATATGCTCAATTTGAAGAAAGCAAGGATTGTTTATATGCTCTCAGTATACTTTTCACTGTTTTTTCATTTTGTTTTCTGAATCTTTCAAAATGCCTTTGTCCCAGCCCTCCCCTGCTTTTAATATGCATCTTTCACTAGCAAGTGGGAGAGAGGGACTTTGAAAGTTGTCATGACGCAATGATATTTGCATTTCTAGTATAAGATATTTGCATTTCTAGTATAAAGACCTGTGTGAAGTATAATTTAAAAGGTATAGTTTTGTGTAGTGGGTGAGTTTTCTCATGGTGAACTTTTTTACCTTTTCCCATGTAGCTTACTCCTGCCTTTGGTGGTTGAAAATGGACAGGGCTAAATGACTTGTTGGGTGGGCCAGCCTCATTAAATAATTTGAGTCAACCTATCTATTTTCTTAGCTTTTTTCCTAGAGGTAAAGGATGATGTGGACAAATTTTTAAATAGGGCTAGTTTTGAATGCAGACGTGGAGAGTATCGGATTTATTCTTATAGATATATTTTAATTAATTGTTTATTAGGGATTTATTTTAGGTTCTTCAGCTGTCATGGATTGGGAAAGTGGTGGTGGGTGGGAAGTGACGTGGGAGAGGGCTACACAATACACTAGGTTATCGTTCCAACTCTGCAGCCCTTCCTCTCTTCAGTAATAAGACTATAATTACACACCTACATCTTTGTCTTGTAACTTTGTCACGTCCTCTCATTGTAGCCAGTTGCACTTCTTCACCCTTGACTCTGGATTTGCTTATTTGACTTGGCCAATGGAATGTTAGTGGATGTGACTAAAGGCTGGAAATGTTCTGTGTCGGTATCTTTGCCATCACCATGAGAAGGGTGTGCTGTAGCTGATCTGCCAGTCCCAGTGGGAGGGTAAGAGACATGTAAAGCAGAGCCAGCCTTGCTGATTGATGCATGAAGCAGAGCTGCTCCAGACAAACCTAGCGATACCATTGCTCCCCAGGTGACCCATTAACATGCATAATTATTGTTTTAAGCCACTGAGTTTGGGGTAGTTTATTACACATAGTTCCTGTGGTATTAGCTAGCCCGTACGGTCTTGGATCAAGAAAGACTGCAGGTAATTCATTGACTATATGAACTCTGATAGCGAGGCTGCCAGAGTCATACCATCACCATGAAGACCTTCAAAAATCAGGCCATGGAGATGACCTAAGTACAAGGTACAAGCATGAGTTACTAGAAATTGATGGCCATAGTTATTTTTCTGTCAATCCTGAAAAGAAGTAAAAAGAGCAGGATTAGGGTTCATAGCAGTCTCCCCCTATCTAAACAAATTGATGCTAAGAGAAAAGAATGAAAGTAAATCATTGCACTGATTCTTGGAGTCATCCCACTTTGAAAATTCAGTGGGGTACCCTAACGTTCAAGCCCTCAGAAGATGCAAACTGCCCTCTTTTGCCTCTGCTCTGGGTGTGGAGAGAATGCCTCTGCTCCCGAGCTGTGCCATTCAGCTTTTGATTTGTGGTTATGCTGTTTGATTTGGAATTAGAACTTTGTAAACACTAAGGCTTTTTAAACAGCTAGAAGCTTAAAATATCTCCACTGAAGTGGAGATCCTCCCAATAGGAAAAATCTACTTAACTGCTTAGTACTTATTAAACCTGGAGCATATGTATGTTCCCCAGATCTGTACATCCTTTGCTTGATGCTATCAGGAGTTATGAGAAATTAAAAGTAAAATAAAATGTCTTTTTTCTTGTGGTCTAATTGGGGAGCAACATTAAGATAATTGAAATGCTTAGGATACAAAAATAATGCAGATTTTCAGAGGATAAAGGCTCTTTTCTTTTTTTTTATTGAGACCACCCTAAAACAGCCAGAAAAACTCTGCTTTTGAAGAGACTAGGACACACATGTTAACAGGTACCTCTATAGGAAGACAGAGATGGATGGAGACATAGCAAATGATGTATCAGAGTGGAATGGAATCATATTCCCTGGTGAAGTGGGGTAGGAACTGGAGGAATCCAACAGATCTTCTGATAAAATCCTGCAAAGGCTCAGAGATTAGAGATATGATATATCAGGAAGACAGAGGGGAGGCGAGGAGCCGGCACAGGGAATGTTAAGAAGTCCGTATAAGGAACACTTGCTTACAGAGATCCCTAGTCCTCACCAGTTAGGTAGGAGAGTACCCTTCTGGTACCTGTGCATGCGATGAGAGAATATTTTTGTAGAGAAACTGAACCGATGAGGTTCTGAACTTGAAGAGATCAGATGTAAAGAAGGACAGCAACAAGGTACTTAGGGAAGTCAGGAAGATGAAGTCAAAGTCCATACATTGAAATGTGAGATCTTTAGTCTTTCCTCATTTCCAGCACCAGAAGGCCAACAGCTGACTTATACCCATTATGTAGGAAGCCAGCTTCTTACTCCACAGAATGTGGACCACCTCACAGAAAAGGTCATAGCGAGGGACACTGGGGGATCCTCAGTGAAAACACAAGATTGCCCTTTGGTGAAGCCAAGTAGTTTGTGTTTCCAACCAGTGCTTTACTATGAATGAGCACAAAGGTTGACCAGAGACCTAAGAACAGTCTCCATCATGAAGGAAAGAAGCAAAATAAATAATACAGATTGAAAACTGAAGTTGGAGGAAATAGAATATTATAAGGAGCAGAAGATAACTTGATACTTTAAAAATATCCATAGAGAGATAAGACTAGAAGATGTTTCTATGAAATGGAAATGGGATGTTCAATAACAGAACAATCACAGGAAAAGAAAAGGCTCTTAGGAATGGATATTAAAAATACTACTTTAAAAATTCAAAATATCAGTAAAAGAGTTGAATCCTAAAGTGGTAGAAAAAGGAACAGTAATAAGAAAAGAGATGATGATGACTTCTGGAAAATCATTCCAAGAATTCTAACAGGCTGTATAAAAATTTTTCAGCATGAGAATGGCACTGGCTTCTCCCCAGAAACCTTGGGATCTAGAATTCAATGAAATTGTGCATTAAATATTTTAAATAAAAATAATTTGCAACCCAGAATCTGCATGCTCAAGCAAATAAAATATGAAACAGAATGAAAACATTTCAGATATAAAGTTTCAATAACACTCACTCTCATGTATGCTGTTTCACTTTAGAAGTTGCTCAAAAATATGCTTCAGCAAAATCAAGGGAAAAAAATCAAGGAAGAACAAAGTCACGAGTTCTGGTCACTGGGAATCCCTTCTAGGCAGAGGGTGTCCTTAGGGTGAAGGGAGAACTGAGATAACAGGTAGCAAGCAGGTCTAGTGAGCAGCTGGCCTAGGGTGCAGCAGGCAGAGGAAGAGGCCCCCTGGAGGGGGCTCCCGTAAGAAACAAAACCCACCAGATACCTGAGAAACAAAGGAGCTCCAGTATCTGAAAAGTTTGATCCCAAAATTCTGGGGATACTTTAGGCTCAAAGAAAGTGAAAGGAATCAAAAAATGGCCTGAGATGAGGAAAGGTGTGTGCATGTGTGGGAATAGGCTTGCAGAGATAAGATGAAGCAGAGCAGGGTGTGTATGTGTATGTGTCTATGGAGAGGGGCAGGAGACTCACAGTGGATTTTGGCCTAAGTAACTGCAAGGGTGATTTTGCCAGTAGTTTATGTAGGCAACACTTGTTAATGCAGATTTCACAAGGCACATCAAAGGGCTGAGTTTTGGTGCTTTATATTTGAATGTCTATTGGACATCTGTGTGGACATGTTTATTTGACAATTGGACATACAGGTTTGGAGATCAAGAGTAAGGTCAGGGCTAGAGTTTTCTTTTTGGAATTGTTGATTATCTATCTATCTATCTATCTATCTATCTATCTATCTATCTATCTACCTATGTATCAAGACCCAAGTATAGATATCAATGAAGTGAATGTGAACAGAGACGAGAACCAAGGAGCAAGCCCTGGAGCTCTCTAGAATAAGAGGGAAGAGCATTGAAGGGAACCATCCGTGCTAGCTAAGGAAGGAGGATTGTGGTATCCTAGTGGCCAAGTGAAGAAAATGTCTCCAAGAAGGAGCCATCAACTATCAAATGCTGCCAAGTCAGGAAAGATGAATACTGAGAGTTGGCTTTTGGATTTAGCAACACAGAGGTCATAGGTGTCCTTAACTGGAACAATTTCAGTAGGCAAAGGAGATGAAGCCTAATCAGGATAGACTGAAGTTCAATTGGGGTAGAGCTGAGGTAACTCTGCCAAGGAATTTTTCCATAATGGAATTTTCAAAATGAGGGAGTAGTTGGTGGGGATGGTGGGTTCAAATATTTTAAGATGGCAGAAGCAATAGCATGTCCGCAGACTAATGGGAATTATCCAGCAGAGAGAGAAAAACTGATGATGTGGAAGAGAACTGGTATTTGCTAGAGTGATGTGTTTGAGCAGATGAGAGATAGGAGTTAGTGTATTGGTGGAGAGTCTGGCATCTAAGATGAGTGTGGGAAAAAGAAGTCCAGGTCAACCGTTGGAGGTAAGTATGGGTGAGGTGCTGCGGGTTAAGATGAGGAGGAAATGTGAGATATGCAAAGAGTGGGAAGAAAGAATGAACACAGGAAATATAGTGTGACTGCCAGTTAATATGGAAGGCCAATTTGATGCCCGAATTTGATGGTCATGAATTTTAAACCAGACCAAACAAGTGAGCTTGTGTATTTTTCTCTAGCCAGATTCAGCTGTGAAAGTGCAGACACAAGGTAGGTGGAGAATTGGATGTAATGTTCTGTTTTTACCGCGAGAGTTTGATCAGGTAGGGAGAGGCAAGGGAACTGAGGGTGTATGCACAAGCGGAATTAGAATGATTGACTGGAATTTAAGCTGAATATGAGTGAAACAAGGACATTATTGGGATCAAGAACTGTGAAAAGGCGGAAGATTTAATAGATTAGGGGTCTAGTGGTTGAAGGACTGAGGGGATTTCAGTATCATAAGGAGTCATCTGAAACATGGAAGTTGCTGCCAGGCAGTGGAAAATGTGGAATTAATTCTAATCCTGTTCCTTCTCAGTTCTGCTCAAGTACTATCTCTTCCACAGGCCTTCTTTGATTCCCCAGGGACTTCACCTCTCATTCCGTCCAATCTCCAGTGAACCTATTTTATTTGTGGCCCTTGACACATTTTTCCATGCTCATGTATTTGTTTCATCTCTACTAATCCAATTTAAGGGTAAGCTTATTCAAGGGAAAAGCTATAATTATTCTTCTTTGCATCCCTGTAGCATTCTTGGAGCAGATTCTTGTTCCTATTCTCAAGAAAAAAACCTTTCAGATTTAAATATGGTGAGAGGTAAGAAAGATGTGCAGATACTTCAGATTGGGCTTCCCAGGAAGCAGATTTTGGTGTGGAGCTTGGCATTCAGATCGTTTAGTAGAGAGTGTCTTTGGGGCAGAGCTGGCGGCAGGGAGGAGAAAGGAAAGGGATTAGGCAGAGAGAGAAGCTGAGCTGTAGTGCAGGTTCAACGACAGTCTCAGCCAACTTCCTGGGAGCTCTGGAGATGCAGTGGCCTTTTAGAGATCCCTGGCTCCTGTACAGGTCAAACGCGGGATGTAGGACACTCCCAGGAGGGCAGCTGAGACAGTTTCTGCAGTAGCTGACAGCTGTCCCAGCAGCTGGGGCGCCACATCCTCCTGTGTGTTACCTGTTATAGTGTTCATCAGCAGCAGTTCCATTGTTTCAAATTTTTCTGGGGAGTAAGAACAGATAAAAACCTATATTTTAGCGGAAGCAGAGAAAGGTGAAATTTACGTGGGTGAAGATTAAGGGAGGTGTGACAATTGTCAGAGAGGAAGCGGTGTGAAACAAATTGTAGCATAGTTTCACTTGCTTGCTTTAGTATCTTCTTTTATTTATGGCACATCTGTCTTTTTGCCCAATTAATAGGAAAATACTGTTTTTAAATCATCACAGCAGTTTTGCTCTTATTTATGTATGTATTAATATTAATTTTTTCTTTACCAGAATATATCAGATTCCAGGCCAAGTCTGTCACTCCAGCTAATTTTCTTTGATGGGGAAGAGGCATTCCTTCACTGGTCTCCTCAAGATTCTCTGTATGGGTCTCGACACTTAGCTCAGAAGATGGCATCAACCCCGCACCCACCTGGAGCCAGAGGCACCAACCAACTTCACAGCATGGTTAGTGTGCGAAGTTTCCCTGGTGCTGCCTTCAAAGGAGAGGTTGCCAAAGCCTAGAAGTGCCTCCAAATCCTTGGAGCAGAGTGTTTATAATAGAACATTCTTTGGCAGGCATTAGGTTTTTGAGGAATCCCAGAGCTACAAAGAACAGTTCTGGGTTAGAAGCTATGTTTGGCTGAGCTTCATTGAAATGATGTAAAAAAAAAAAAAAAAAAATCAGATCAAGGAACTGACAGTTTGGTTTGTTGGAAACACATTCCCTAAGTACCTTACAGAGGTGGAGAGAGCAAATGCCTTCTCTGAAGCCTTTAAAAACAGAGGAAACTAGGGTCCTGGGAAATGGAGCATGCAAGGGGTAGAAGTGAGGCATTTTTTCTCTGTCTTTAAAGTCCTATAGTGGATCCAGTGTGTGTGTGATATTTTGATCTGCTGGTTCAGTGAGAAATTTTTGACATGAGGGTGAGGCATTCTGATGGTGCCTTAAAATTCTGCTACTGAATAATAGGTGCAGCCCACAGCCTCATTTTCATCTTCATTCCTGGACCTGCAATCCATCCCTAATCCCTCAGCCTTCCCTTGAACCTTCTCCTTGCTCTGACTCTCATCCCATATCTGATATTTATCCTGTCCCCAAGTCCTCACTAACCCCAGCTGGGAACTTCATGCTACCCTTGATACTTCATGCTTCCCCATATTCATCCGTCCCTGATCCTCACCCCATCTGTAAACCAAAACTTACACTTAACCCCTCCACCCTACTTCTCATCCGTGACTTTTCTCTATTACTGACCTTTCCCGTGTAAGTCAAACTGGTCCCATTTGATGTCCTTTATGTTTTTATCTGGCACATTTTCTGTCGGCAGTTTACCCCCTAGGTCCACTGGCAGCTCAAAATGGGTCAAGGAAATACGATCAGCACCTCATTCATTCACTTGTACCCAAGTTGATGTAAGGGTTCAGAGAAGGAGGGACCTGGTTGATCAGTGGTAGGAGCAAAGTTAGTTATTTGTCAGTTCAAATATGTGAATCCACAATGATGGTGAAGACCATTTTCCTCCAGAAGGAAAAAAAATACAAAACCTCTTAATAGCTTATCCAACCTTGTCAATACGTTCATATTTTATTTTATTTTTATTTGTTTATTTATTTTGTCTTTTTGAGACAGGGTCTCGCTATGCAGTTCAGGCTGACCTTGAGCTCATTTTGTAGCACAGGCTGGTCTTGGACTCGCAACGATCCTCCTGCCTTAGTACGTTCATACTTTAAACAATCTTGTTTTTTACATCTAATTATCATTCATGAATTTATACATACTATCATTTTAAAATCACAGACTCTGAGAATGTTTATCTACTATGTGTTGGTATCTTTTGTAGACATTCATCTATAAATCAGGAGGTTTTAATCTAGAGAGTCCTGTGCAGGGAGTTCTCAAGCTTGCTGATGTTTTATGGCTCAGGTAAATTAAGGTATTCTGGTTTAATTATAGAAGCTTATAGCCAGAAAGGTTTTAGAGATTAGCTAGTTGGAGCTCTTCATTTGATACACAATAAAATGGAGATCCAGGGACACAATATTATATATCCTATTTGCAGGGGATTTTTTTTGATGTGTGGCTTGACCAATAGTTACTCTCCAAGAGCTCTTCCATAGACAGTTGTATCATTATATATTAAGGATAAAGTGGCTAATTAGAATAAATAGAAAGTCAGACAGGCTTAGACTCTCATTTGAAACTAAAGCATTCTTCTTTAATCTATGAAATATGTATCCAAATGTCCCCTTTCTAATTTATACTTAGTGTTGTCTTTTAAGTGGTAGATGCACAAAAAATCATCACCTTGCCTTTTGTTCACATTGCCTAAGCAAGATTTTAAAAGCCCTCAAAATAATTAATATAAAATGTTGTCAGATTTTTGTTCTTTTAGAGTCTAAATCCCCCAAATTATTCTCAGTTACTAAGATGCAGTTAGTTTTGACTGGTTGTTCTTTACTGCTTATGAATATGAGACATATCTTGGTGACTGTGATTAAACCATATTTTTCTCCCTTAGGATTTATTGGTCTTGTTGGATTTACTTGGAGCTCCAAATCCAACATTTCCCAATTTTTTCCCAAACACAGACAGATGGTTTAATAGACTTCAGGCAATTGGTAAGTACCTCTGTCACTAGAGAATGAAGTATGGCTTCTTCCTGCTGACAAACATTACATTCTAAAATTCAAAAATTATGATTTTTGCATGTGTGATTTAAATATGCTGTATACTTTACTAGCTTTTTACTTGGCCTATTGATTAGCTTGTTAGTCTTATTTATCTCTTTCAGTAGGCCCAGTTTATTTTTATGCATAAAACTGTATTTTGAAATGTAAACATAAAACCCTACATTTTACATTTGCACATCCTTAGGAATAGAGTGCAAATATTTTTCCCAGGGTACTGTCTGATACACACAGAATGGATTTCTAAGGAAAACTTTACCCAGCAAAGCATGCTAACTAATGATGAATGCTGTGTACTACTGATGCCAAAAGATATTCAGTAAGTTTTCATTCTTTTCCATCTTTGATCATCTATTTTCTATCTTATTCAGATATTATTTTCTTTTCAATACAATCCATCTCTAGGAATTTTTTAAAAAAAGTAAGAGATCATGAGGCCAGAGAAAGATCTGTCCAGAGCCACTTGGAAGAAGATTTAAATAGATAAGAGTGGGATAGGATAGACTAGGCTGGGCCAGACCAAGAAATGTAGGTACCTATGGAACATAAACCCCTGAGGTATCAGGGGAAGGAGAAAATGAGATGAACCTTTACTGTAGAATCTAGATTCTGAGGCTGATTTTGAGGCAAGAACTTTGTATTAGAAACTCCCCAGGACACACACACTTCGTGGGGCAGGACAGGTATATTTTGAGCAGTGAACACTGTGCCATCTTAGCTTACGCCTGTGCTTTGAATTAAGAATTTGACAATATTCAGATATAAATTCATACAGGGGAAACTTTGACCTGAACTTCAGATGCTCGTCTTTGGCCAATTTCAATTCCTAGTTTAAAATAATTACTGTGATGGCATTATTAACATGAGCTTCTTGGGCCTCTTTTTTGCAGCATGTTTTCCTGACTTTGATGGCAGCCTCCAGAAACTGAGTTTGCCTTCTTTCAAGGGTTTTGTGGATTTTTCTTATTTTTTGTATCAGGATGAACATATATCAATAACTTTTAGGTTACTGTAATTTTAACACATCGTGCTGCCTTTCCTCATAGTATTTACACTTCAGATGATAGCTCTAATGAATCAGGCAAAATTGTATCTTATGGTAAACATTACAGATATCAATAAACAGATAGGAATATTGTTTTGGTGGTGGCTACAGCCTTTCAATATTCCTAAAACTCTATTACATATGATTGTTTACTGGTGTAGCTTTCACTTGTAAACTAGCAATTAAAATATAATTGCAGTCTGGGAATATACCTTAGTGACAGAGTGCTTGTCTAGTGTGCACGAAACTCTGGATTCAAGCCCCAGTACAACAACAAAACAAAGCAAACAAAATAAAACAGAACAAACAGTGATCTTAATCTTGTAATCCTTTGTCATCTTGTAACATAGACACACTGGTTTCTGTGTAACCTATGGGTTACATATTGCAAGATGACAAGAATGATGGAATGCAGGATTGTGTTTCTCAAACTTCCTTGTGCACCTGAATCTCCGGAGAGCTAAGATCACTGATTTCCCAGATTTTTGACTTGGTAGGTCTGAGTTGGGGCCAGACCCAATTTGCATCCCTAACTAGTTCCCAGGTGGTACCTTAGGCTACAGGTCAAGAACCTTACTTTGAGAAGAACTGATGTAGATTACAGTAGGTACCCCTTTTCCCATAGGGTGGCCACCTGATATACTTCATCTTATTCTGTTTGAATATTCCCCATCTCCTGGTTAAGCATTCTTTATGCAGAATCTGGAGCTATAAGCATCTACAACTGAACTCCCTCTCCCCACCCCATTTCTTATTTTTTATCTTTCCATTGTTCTGTTGAATTTCTACCTCTGTGGAGTTGTCACTATAAGGAAAGAACTATGTGTGAATCTCCTCTCTTCCTACTCCAAAATGTACATATCAACTTCAGTTCATATATTTATTGTAATGAACATGGACATATTCCTGCATAATATTTAAAAAGTGATGCCCACATGTGCAAAGATTTCTAACTCTTATTAAGGATGCATGCAGAGTCTTAATCGGATAAAAAATAGGTATTCAACTACTGTCTAATTTTCATCTGCAGAACATAAACTCCATGAATTGGGTTTTCTCAAGGATCACTCTTTGGAGAGGACATATTTCCAGAATTTTGGTTCTGGAGGTATTATTCAGGATGACCATATTCCATTTTTGAGAAAAGGTAATATGTTTGTATGTACCTATACATGTTCATGTGCATTTTTTAATCCATTGTATTTTATATTCACCTTGAAATTTCAAGAGTACATATCACTAATTCACTTAAAAGTAGACCAACATCACTGTTTTCAGCTATGCCTCTTTCTCAAACCTTATTTAGCTTCCTGGTGTCATCAGACAGCTTTCTTTAGCAGTGAAATTTCCAGGTCTCTAATTGTTGCATACATTTGAGAAGCAAATTAAACAAAAGTAATAATTGGTGCATTTTGAATTACTGAGACCATTCTTCCTTAAAGATTGATTACACTAAATTAATATACTCATCATTTGAACCAATCCAAAAGTATTTTAAATGATCTAAAAATAGTGAATGAAATTAATTTGAATGAGAACCAATCATTAAAAAGGAAGTATTATGTTATGGTATAATTAAGCTTTGACCAATATGTGATATAATATAATCAATATATTATACATAATCAATATTAATATAATCAATATTCTGATTATGTTCCTGTAAAGTAGAAGCCAGGTGATTGAACCAAATTAAATGAGAGGGAAAAAGATTAGATACTCCCTCACCTGATCTTTATTGATGCCAGGTATGATTCAGGTACAAAATGTAAAGCTTCCAGTTAGCAAATTAAATGGTAGAACCTGCCATTGCTCACTGGTATGAAGGAATGACTGGCCTGAAAGTAATCACTCCTTTCCCAGTCTTGCCTTTCTCAGGGACCAGTTTTAATTTGTCCCATTCTTTTTTTTTTTTTTTATAACTGATGTATATATTTTTTTTAAAGAAAAAATATTTTAAAGAAAACAGTACAAAAAAAGAACAATAGCAAAATATAAACAAAACAAAGCAAGGACATTAAAAATGATACAGGATTTCAAACCAAATGATAGGGATTAACAGTGGTTGTTACATTACATATTGTCATGTTAGACTCCTGGGAGCTGTCCTCGCTTGGGCCCTTTTCCCCAATTCACATTCATTTTTAGGTCATAGGAGGTGTCTAAGTGTAACACTGAGATGCGGTGGTGGATCCCTATAATAGGAGGATCCAGTAGTACTCCTACTCCCCTTGATTTATAACAGTTACAAATGTGAGGGTGCATTAAATTGAATTAATTGACAAATTAAACCAGCATATCACCTCGTGGTTTCTGTTTTCTCATGAAGGTCATTCCAAATATTTGAGGATACCTTTATTTTTTTCTGTTCTTAGTATGTCTATTAAAACCCACATTACACTGCCATTCTGCCATCCTTTTTATGGAGTTAGATTGTATTCTTATACTTTGTGTAACTCTTATATTGTTCGATCAATAAGGAAGCAATATCCTTGTATCAAGGTGGTAGAAGTCTAAATCAACCCAAGGACTCTTGCCATAGCTCCCTTACTGTCTCCAGATTTTGTTCTTGTTACTCTATTCTTTGTAGAGAGCTAAAGTTGTCTTTTAAAAATATAAATCAAATCATGTTACTTACTATTTTAAAATTCTAAAGGTTTGCCATCTTGTAGAATAAGATGAAAAGTCTTTATCATGGTCTATGGTGTCCTCCATTTTCTGCCTGTGTTCTCTTTCAGTGTTACCCACTACTTCTCTTTCTAACCTTTGCTCTGGTCCAACCATACTGGCTACCTTGCTAGTCTCCAAGGAGGAAAAGCATACTTCTACCTCAGGACCTTTTCAGTTGCTCATACTGCTGCCTTCAGCGCTCATCGCTAGATCTTTGCATGGTCTGCTTTTCCTTTGGTGTGTGTCTCCATTTAACTGTTGGCTTTCTCTGACTTTAAATACCCCTCTCTCAGCCCTACTGCCTGTCCCTCATCCTTTATTCCCTTGCCTTGTTTTATTATTCTTAAGTAGATTTATCACTTCCCAAATTTATGTTTTATATATGTTTACTTGTTTCTTTCTCCATTGGAATAGAAACTCCATACGGGCGGAGCTTTGCTTTTGCACTATGAAACGTCAGTTCTTAAAATCAGATCTGGTAGGTAGTGGGTGCTGTGTAATCATTTGCTGAATTAATTATCATTTGTCTAATGAGTGAATGCTTTTTGGAGAACCAGGTAAGATACAAAGAAGTGCATAAGAGATGATGAATCATCAAGTATCTTCATATGATACAGAGCTCCCTCTGTTTGCAGAATATCCGTTTCTAGTTTATTCACCGGAAACACGCACCAAATTAAAGTCAGTTCTTTCATATTAGGTGTTCCAGTTCTGCATCTGATACCATCTCCTTTCCCTGAAGTCTGGCACACCATGGACGATAATGAAGAAAATTTGGACGAGGCAACCATTGACAACCTAAACAAAATCATACAAGTGTTTGTGTTGGAATATCTTCATTTGTAATATTCTGATTTAATTCCTGGTAATTGCTTCTATATCAAATTCAAAAGTTAAAGCATCATTTAAAATAATCTAATTCCAGATAAATGTGCAGAAACTTCTATAAATTTACTCTCTGGGTGTCTTTGAATATGTGATCAATGAATCATAGAATTATACTATGTTTTCAGTTGCTTTTAATTTTTATCTAGACATGAAAAGGGAACATGTAAAGAAAACAGAAAATAAACATCTTTTAAAAACTCATTTAGATAAAGACTACAAAATAAAATCAGATTCACTTATTCAGTGTTTTCAGACAATACTAAATATGTTGATGGTGTGCCATATGTACCCTTAATTTTATGATTTTTCATACTTGGGAATCTATTATACAATATAAAATGGAAATGTACTTTGAACATTTTCAGCCCTCTTTGAGAAATCTTTGTAGGGTTAATTTTATGCAAATTAAAATCAGAATTAAATGCCATGTTGTGAATTTCTTTTCATGTACATATATAAATGAAGAAGTATTTAATGCCTAATCCAAGTTTTATAGTTGTACAACTTTAGCATCTTACTGTAAAAATAGTTTAGTAAATAAAAAAATTAGAAAATGGATAACAAGAAAAGGGTAATTGCATCATGTTAACAGAATCATCACTGCCTCTTTATTTTCCTCTTATTTTATTTATTTCCAAGACAGGGTCTCACTATATATTCCAGCCTGCCCTTGAGCTCACCATATGGCCCAAGCTGGCCTCAAATTTGTAGATATTCTCCTGCCTCAGTCTCTGGAGTGCTGGGATTACAGCTGTGTGCCACCATGCCCAGATATTTTTCTCATATTTTATATATGAGTGTAATCAAATTGTACTTACATTTTTAGCCCCCCATAAACTATGTACTTACTATGTATTTGCTATTTTGATCTTAGGATGGGACAAAGTCAGAGAGAGACCATTGATTGTGACCTGTAGAGTCAATGTTCAGGTAACATAGTAATCGCTAGTTATAATAGTTTTTTTAAGTTGTATGGAATCCATATTTGGTTACTTACAGCATATTTTTTTCTGGAAATGCATAGACACCATGAATTGTCTTTAGTGGTAGGAAACAATTATCTAACATATAAATTTGACCAACTGAACCATTATGAAATTGATCCTGCTCAATAGGTGATACTAGCCGGGGACACTGTTCTATGTGTATTGCCTGTACAGAGCAGACACTGAGTAAGTTCTCACTGAGTTACTCTGCGAGGCTAGGTAGAGAGTGAGACGGATCAGGGGATTGGGGTAGCAATGCCAGCTTTAAATTCAACAACAGTGGAAGTCACTAGAAGGTAATTTATTTGCTAAAACATACTTTCCAGATAAAAATGATGAACATGTGTCTATTTTTATGACTGTACCTGATTATATGCAAGAAGGTAGCCAGAATTTTATGTTTTATTTTTGGTACCAGGAATCGAACTCATGACCTTCACTTGCCAGGTAGGCACTTATGCCACTGAGCTACATTCCTAGTAACTGGTAGCCAGAATTTTGTATATACATATAAAACATTATCTGGATTTCATGTTGATATATTTTATAGAATTAGATTTTTCTAGGACTTTTTATTTTACAAAACTTTCTTTTTTTTTTTTTTTTGGTTTTTCTTCTGTACCGGGAACTGAACTCACGACCTTGCGCTTGCCAGGCAGGCGCTTTTGCCGCTGAGCTAAATCCCCAGCCCCTTATTTTACAAAACTTTCTAAAGTTATGTAAATGGATGTTGTGTCTTTGTAAGTTAGTAACTTCAAACACTAACACTTATTGAGTGCTAATTCTGTGCCAGATGGTGCAGGGCACTTTATACATTTTTACCAGCTTTATCCTCATTCCAAGGTAGGTGACATTATTAAGCTCATTTTATGATACTCAGAGTGGTTAAATGTGTTTTTCAAGATTGTGTAACTAGAAAGTGGGAACAGTGGGATTTGAACTCCAGCAGGCATGATCTGGACTACTGTAAATTATTGCCTCTGTAAAAGACTTAAAGAATATTCTTAATGCCACATGCAAAGCAGCAGTTGTATCTTGAAAATTTTATTTAGGTCATTCCCTAAGTCTGGGGAAGCAGTCTTGAATCCTTGCTGCCATGATTTACCTGACAGTATTAAGCATCAAAAGCCATCATCTCTGTGCAGAATTATTTCTCTGCCATAGTAAAGACTATTTTTGCCTTAGCATGGATATAACAGAAACCGATATGAGTGTTTCCAGGGCTAAAGAATCTAAGCCATAAAGCAGGATTAAAGGGAGCTGAATTTTCACCATTAACTTTTTGGATGAGAGAAAATAAAAGGAGTTTGGGAAAAACACATCTTTCTTAGCATCAGGAAGTTCATGGTTTAGTTGATGATATTATGCGATAAATGATTTAACTGATAATAAATAGCATGAGAATAAATTTTAAAGGATCCTAAACATTAGTTGACAGTGCTGCATATGTAATTTTAAGCCAAAATGATAAGCTCCTTTAAAGGCAGAATTAATGGGAGATCTACTATAATCTGTGAGTTGGCATTTGTTGAATTATTTTTTAGAGGAGGTTGGAGGATATGTTTAAATGGGATAAAGGGAAAAGTAAAAACATAAGCAGCTTAATCCAGTGAAGGTTTCCTTGCTTTTAAATGGCACATCCTAAAATTCTCCTCGCTAGAGTTTGCATTAATATGAGAAAAGCAATCATGATGTCATAAAGCGAGGCATTTTGAGGTATTAACTTTGATATTAATCTCTGAAATATGTTTCGTATAATTCATGCCAGTCAGGAATATTACTTTTTGAAAATTATAGCTGCCAAGGCAGTGCTCCATAAACATTATGTTGCATTTGGAATTTTTCTATGTGCATTTTGGAGCCTTTTACAGCTCCTAAGAGAACAATTTGTATGTTTCGCCTATTACTGTCAACCCTGCAATATACAGGGCTATTTTTCTTCTTCAAGAGAAGTGAGTTCAAAGGAAAATGTTCGTAAGAGAGTATCCGTAATCCTGGCATCTAAAAAAAAAGTCACGAGCCTGTTATTGTAGCTTGAGGGCTGTGGCTGGAAGAGAAAAGACAGATTCTTCAAAAATGGAGAAGTGTTTTAGATAGTGAAGCCGTTGTCATAAGAACAAAGCAGCCCATGTTTCCATCTCTGACTCCAAATCCTCAAACAGTTTATTTCATGAAGCTTCTTTCTTCTATCAAAGAAATACATTCATTATGGAGCTGCAGTAAAACCATGTGAAAAGTAAGTATTTTCTCCATCAACTTGGCCCAGCTGGAGGTGATTACTTTGCATAAAGCAGGGACGGACAAGACTCTAGACTTCATTGCTTGGATACACAGATAGCCCTGCATGAGGCTTGGTTGTGGTCTATTCTGCTGAACTTCACTTCTCAGGTCCTTTGCAAGACGAATCTGAGGAATGAAGGTGTGGAGATGAAGTACAGAGAAGATGAGGGAGATTGTTCAGAGCAGCCCCCATAATTTAAGCAAAGCTAATGCAGCAGGTTTGAGGAAATGACCTAAATGTGCTATTCATGAAGATACGGGCTGTGCTTCAAAGCCAGCCTTCCCATCAACTTTTGGCTTCAAAGATGAATGTAGGAAAGATTGAGGTTTCACTCCCAGTTTCGGGACCACTTTCTATGCAGCCTGAAACTCTGACAGTAGTTTTGAAGTGGTTTGACATCCTCCCCTCCCTTCCCCCTTTCGTCTCTGATGTCTAAGGTATGTCTTTTTCAGCCTTCAAAGAGCAAAATGACTGCTTTGTTGCAAAGGGCAGAAACCAGTGCTGCATTTCATGGGCGGGCTGAGGTGGAGAGCAGCAGTGGTTAGCTAGTGGAGCTGGCAGGGTGGTATAGAACCCCCCTCAAATCCTCCTACACGTCAGAATTGCCCCCAGACTCCTGGCAAGACATCCAGCAAGACATCCTGGCAAGACATAATTCATGACATTTCGAAGAGAGCTGGGATGAAAGGATTGCCTGTGTCGTGGCTGTATCCCTCAGCCTGCATTTGGTTGGTGTGCTCACGCAATGTGAAGTCATCTTACTGTGCTGCTCACATTTCAAAGGCAACGCGTGGAACACAGCCCGCTCTTCTGACAGACAGAGCCAGGCTTGCCAGGGGAGAGTTTAGATCGTTTCTTTGAGAATTGATATTAAGAGCACACAGTTGCCGAGAAGAAAAGTAACATGCCTTAAAAGCAAAAATAGAATACCCAAACTCACAAAGATGACAAAAGTCACCTAAAAATAGATTTAAAAACTGGTAAGAATACCGGAAACTTTATTTTCTTACATTGACTTAGTGTTGTATAGTACCGGAGGTCCTGGACATTCGTGGTTTTGATATTTGTGGTTTTGGCTCGCAAAGAATGACGTGTAGTAAATTATGTGTTTGAAGAGACCAGCATGGAGAAGTGAATGAGCACAACGGAGTCTGGCCATTAGCTTCACTGCTGTTGTGTCTTCATCCTGGAAGGAACACTTGGGTCCATTTCCTTCTATAAATGAAACCCCCCATTCATACACCCTAGACCAACTGCTCTTCCTGGAGATGTCATTAAAGAAGCTTAGAAAAATGATGGTTGCAGATAGTAGCTGTGTAAGTGATTGCAATCCTTTATTGATAGGAGCATTAAGGGTATGAAAAAATCACTTACATTTGCTTTTTCTGTCTTTTTAATGGGGCAAATTATATGCACCAATGATATTCCATTTTAGTTTATGGTGGAGTTATTTTGTATCAAGTATTTTACTGTAGTAACCCTTTTATAAGTTTGCCCATATCACTGTATGTTAGTATTCTCATTTTTCAAAGACATGAACACAGAAATTAATTCATTCTCAGTTGATGCTGAGTAGATTTTACAGAATTTAATTATCTGACATTGACTGGGTTAATTTCAGCATGGCTGTAAGAGGTGTTAGAGATTTTCTAGTTTATTGGTTTCTATCTGGAGATAATACCACTCTGGTAGGTAGCATTTAGAAGTGTGTGTGTGTGTGTGTGTGTGTGTGTGTGTGTGTATTTGTGTAGTGGATTGTGGTGGATGCTTAATAGTGATAAAGACAGAGTGTGTTTCACATTTGGTGGGGAGGGGCAAAAACAGAAGTTCAGGACCATTTGTACAATAAAGAATTGTCCTAGCCCCGTGCAAGTTGTGCCTTCCTTGAGAAACACTGGCTGGTTTTAGAAATCCTTCATTTTAGATACCAAGATACAGAGAAGGTGGATCATTTAGAGTTGAGGAAGGAGATCAGGGTGAAAGGGGAGGTTTTGAAAGGGGGAAAAGACATAAAAATTTTCCAGGTATGCTACTTACACATACTAATTCTCCCAAAGAAACATAACTATTATGTATTGCAAGTATCATGAATAAAAAAGATTCCTTTGATTGCGAGTGACAAAAGTACTAACTCAAGCTTACCTGAACTAAAAAGGAAAT